AAGCACTATAACATAAGAAACTCGGAGAATAAAAGGAAACCTATTTCATGGAGCAGAAAGAGTAAAAAACACATCATACGCCTACTTTAAGACAATGCATCTCCTCCTACTTCCAGCTGTTTACAGAAACCTGATTTTTGAATGAGAATCAGTGTCCAAAAAGATATACCACTACAATGATCATTCATTTCCATCCAAGCAATGTTGTTCAGTTTAGTACGGATCATCACCAGTTTAAGTGGCAGTGGGCCCCTAATTCATTATCCAACGGGTTGTGATGTATTTTAATGCATTGAGCAATGAATTAGGGTCATCACCAGTTTAAGTGACAGTGGGCCCCTAATTCATTGTCCAATGGGATTGTGATGCATTGGGCAATAAATTAGGGCCCACTGTCATCTAGATAGGTGAGATCATTATTAACAATGAACAACATTATTCTTACCATAATTCAATCACAAGACATGTTGAAGACAAATTTTATACTTCTCTCTCTTGATAAGGTAGCTTCTCACATAGTATTACTCAATTTTCCATGCACTCCATTTACCTAGCCTGTCCTCCTAATACTCACACAGACACGAGTTTCCAGCATTAAGAGACTTGGTTGGTCAAAAATCAAGATATGAACTTCAAACTGATACGAGGACTACAGGTTCTATTACCAATCAAGCATAGAATATATAATATAATACCAGTAAAAGCAACGAAATCAGGCTTCTCGAGCTCAATCATCTTTTCAAGAAACCGTGTGGTGTTGAGATCAGAACAGTACTCGAATTCACTATCCAACACATCTCTGCATCGAGTCACCATGCCATTCCCAAAATGCATGTCAGCTACCTACGAAAAAATCACATCTTCGCCACCAATAACCAAAAATTCTAACAAATCCACAACTTTATTTCCATAAAAGAAGAAAATAAACGAAATCCATAATCATATTTCGTGAAGAATGTCATTATACCTGGAGGATTTTGAAAGTTCCATCAGAATTGAAGCGCAGAGGGAGAGGTGGCAGTTTCTTGACTCTGACATTTTGGTGGTCTAGTGAGAGTTTTTGGGATATTATCAGAATGTGAAGAAGGTGAATCGAAGCAATTATGAGGAGCGAGTACAATAAAGAGTGGATCCATGTTGCAGAAAATTCCATTTTCTCAAGTACATTCGGAGATTTAAGAGAGAGTTCAATAGATGCATTTCCATTTTTATTTTTTTTATTTTTTTTGCTTATTTTGTTTTTATTTTAGGGAAAATTGCAGCAGCGGTCCCTAATCTTTTACTTTTTTTTGTAAATTTTACTCTAACCTTCAATTTATATCAACGAAGATCCCAAACCTTTGTTAAATTAGTAGTAGAAGTCCAAATTGCCACTCTCCGCAGCCACAGCCTTCGCCTTTCCTGCTAATTTTCACCTCCACCTCCATTCCAAAACAAAACCAATTGCTCTTCTATAGCCACAAGTCGCTGCTGCCACTCACCGCTTCGGCCTTCCCCACCAATCCCCACCTCCACTTCCATCACAAAAGAAAACAAATTGCAACCTTAACAAAAAGCTCGATTATTAAACATTTTAATCATTATATCAAACACCTCATAGGCATCCTGCAATCTTCCATTTTGACAGAATGAATTGTTCAATGTAGTGAATGTAGCAACATTGGGTTGGAATCCATTCTTCTTGCAGCAATTAGTTACCAAAATTGAGTATGTACAATTATCATGGGCTAAACTGACAAATGATAATTTGGACTTTATTTTGGACGCTAATTTAAACTCATTGTTGAGACAAAAACGATAAGAAAATGGTTGAATTCTAAAATGGTTGGTAATTTGCTATCTCTCTTGAATGTATTCACAACTTCACTTTTTTAGAAGTAAGAACTACTACAATTGTTTCAAGAAAATCTTGAAATTCTTGCAAAAAATGGGGTTCCTTTTGGACTTTGAGTAGAGGTAGGAAGTGCTGCAGAAATGAGAAAACTACCTTGCTGGGACCTGTTGTTGGTGCAGTGAAAGGTGTCGTGGTCGTGGTGGCTATCCCAAACAAGGATAATTGCAGCGGGAAAGGTGTGTCGGCCGTGATGTGGGCGATGGTGATACTGTTTTTTTGTTTGGGTGGGAGGATTGGGGATAGGGTAATTAAGGAGATGAATAGTTTTTTTCTTTTTATTTTGTTTTAGTTATTTTAATTGTTTTATGGGATTAAATAGCAAATTTACCATTTTACCAATTTCAATTTAGTTAACTAACGGTCAAATCCATCTATTTGGACCTCTATTGCTAATTTATCAATGTTTGGGGACCTTCGTTGACACAAATCGAAGCCTAGGGTAATTTCTTCAAACAATTGAAAGGTTAGGGACAGCTGCTACAATTTCCCCTTTATTTTATTTGTTGAGTCGTTGTGCAGTAGTAAATGGACTTTCTGGGCACTTTATACTGGGGCAAACTCCAGAGTCTTCAACTGGGCTGGTCCAGTGGCTGCATGTGGGCCCTTTGCCCAAACCAGAGAGGAAAATCTAATAAAATAGCACCAATATGGATAACTTTAGTATTGTAGCATTTTTTTTTTCATTTTGATGCATATTGTAATTCATAATTTTTATTTGTGGTTATTATTTATTTATCATTCATTTGATTTTTTTTATATGAATATTTTAGTCAAGTTTGGAGAGAATACATGACTCATTTTTACAGAAAAATCTTCTAACATTGCTTGGCTTCCATTACCTCTCTCTGTCGAGGGGGCAATTTACTTTGTACTACATACTTTAAAAAAGGATTCGTTTTGGCTTAAGCGTCCAAATAAACTATATATTTGATCAGGACAGATCCAGGAATTCGATTGAACTAGAGATGTCGTTGACCATTGACCGCCACTTAGGGAGATTGGTTATTAATATTTAATTAAATAATATTAAAATTTCTCCTATCAATATATAAATGCTCTAAAAAGTAAATACATATAAAAATATAATCCAATACAACCCAAAATAATAAGAAAAAATACAATAACAAATACATGATACAACCTTATTCTGTGAGCCTATAACTGTAAGTTCACTCACCTGCATTCTCCGATGTCTCATATTTTGAACGAGCTACAANTTATTCTGTGAGACTATAACTGTAAATTCAATCAACTGCATTCTCCGATGTCTCATATTTTGAAAGAGCTACAATAACCATTGAACATGTCACCCTATACGAATCATACAATTACAATAACTAAAAATCGCTCGCATGGAGTAGACGAGCTAGCAGGCAAGCGACGGTCGGCTGACTGTTATATCCGACAGAGCAAGCACGAACGGTCGCCCTAACTCGTCGGGTGGTAGCTCCGCACCTGTATCTAATACAACTTAACAATATTACTTGATCCTTAATGCTACACTTGAATCTAGGGCTTCACTTAGTTAGTAAGACAAAATTGAAGGCCACGTGAAAGACTTGTGCATTGCTTTTATGGGTAATGTGAAAATGAGACGTTTTCTTCACTAAAACAACAAACAATACATGATTTTTTTTTTATTAAAAAAAAATGCATTAAAAATTATAATGTGATTGCATTATCACCCAACTAATAGTTGATTTTGTCTTATAGTGTTGCATAATGGCTAACTAATAAAATATGAAAATACGTTTGTTTATTTTAATGTGATTGCATTATCACCCAACTAAGAAACTTCCACGTTGGGTTTCATTTACTCAACTAATTAATTTGTCCCTACAATAGTGACGTATCTGAATCAAGTTCGTAGGTCTCGATAATATGACTTGACTTTGATTGATCATTTTATCAACGTTTTTAAAAATCATTGGTTGTTTACGATAACTGATAAATATTGTCGGCCTTTTGTCCTTTTAGAACATGTTTGGTCTCCATTATATTTAAAATGCATTTTTCTTACCCTCATTTTCAATCACAAATTTTTCAATAAAATAATATTTTATGTAAATTCAAAACTTTTTTTTTATTTTTTAACCACACGTTCTCCATCAAAATACCATTTCAAAATGCATTTTAGGTAAAAAAAAAAAAAAAGGGGCTCCAACGGACTTTTTAATGTGAACGTCTTACACTAAAAATATTTAAAATGTTGCATTGTTAATACCCCCAAAATAATGCATAATATTAGGTTGCACTATCATATTCATCTAGGGGTATTAAATGGAACGAACACTCAATCAGAGTCTAGCTCGACTACTCCACGAGCTCAACCGTTGGTTTGACAAGCCGAAAAGGCTCAAGAGTTGCTCGTGACTTGTCAATTTTTTTGTTGCTAAAGTTGCGTTTTTCACTCAGAGCCTGCTCGTCAGCCAACTATGTTCAATCAAACAATTCACTAATTTTCATCAAAAGTTTTGTTACAAAACCCTTTGACATTGACTGTATTGTTGGAGAGGAAATCAATGTTTGAGTCACTCCCATGTGAATGACGAAAAATATTTGACAGTAACATGTAAAATTGAAGAGAAATGCTAGGGGTACATTGGGATTCACACAAGGGTTGTCATAAAATTCACATGGGGTGGATCCCACTTTTGTAGGTCTCACAACATGGGTCCCACCCCATGTGAGTATTATGTCAACCCTTATGGATAAAAATTATGTACAAATAGAATTTATGAAAATTGAATAATTGCATGTAAGATCTAGTCAAGATTTATATATTAATAAATATAGTTCGAATAGCCGAATGTATGAAATTGACCTCCTAAGCATCAATGTTTAATTTATACTAAGCATCATGTGTTAGTTTTATAACCAATCATTATTCTGCACCACCTATTGTAGTTTGTTGTGTCATCCAAGTGCTAAGCTAAGCACCGATGCTTTGAAGATCTGTCTTGATCAAACCTAATTTAGCATTCATTGATCTATTTAGTCCATGTTTGTCTATCATTATTCAATAAAAATGAGTTTTAGAATAGTGAATTTTTGAATAAGGTTTGATGAAAAAGTAGGTATAAATTTTGAGTAATGCTACATGCACATAACCATTCACATAATGATTCACATAATTACACGTGGCATGTGATCCAACCTTTAATTCAAATTTCACACTTATACATTAACAAGTGGATAATTGCCACGTCAGCATTATGTGAACCATTATGTGAATGGTTATGTACACCTAGCATTATTCATAAATTTTGGATTTACGTTCAAAATATTTTATTGTGGGAATATGTGGTTGAAACGAGGTTGAAAGAGAGAGATTTAAAATAATAGTTGACAAACAGGGACTTTAGATTTGATTCTAATCAAGATTAATTGGATTCCAAGATACAGTATGGGGAGTTGGAGTAAATCTACATTTTCACGAGGCTTAAGCAGTCCATGTGGCCGTGTTCACCCATGGACAATTCTTATATTGAAGTCATATTCTCCCATGGGAAATTGCTGGCTTCAATGTCCACGTTTCAACTCGTCCCGTATGGTTTTACTGGCTCCTCCAATTTTGTGGGTGTTTGATAGGGATTAAAATTGAATTTTTAATAGATTGTCATAGAAATTTTTAAAATGTGTGATTGAAAAACTGTGGGACCCATAAAAGATGTGGTTACTATTAATTGTTTGACTTTGACTTATATTAAAATTTGATTTTAATCAGAAACAAATAATTTATTATTATGACGCCTTGACAAATTTGTCCTCAGGTCTTAAAGAAGATTGACACGGTCGGACAGACAGAGGAAAATGGTGAAAGTACATCTTGGTATACATTATGCGGAAATTTAAAAAGTGTTGGACGAAAAAGTGTGTGTGTGTTTTTTAAAATTGTTCGATTATGTGTCGACACGTGACATAATGTTAAAAATGATATAAAATAAAATGTACATATAGTATGATTATTTTGTTGAATGGTGATGTAACACGATATCAGGACAACCTCTATGTCCAATCTCTATAAACCTTAATAGCACAAACAAAGTTGAAAATGTGTGGCTCTAATTACAATGCAAATTGCTCGGGTCACATGAACACATAAAGTATTCGTTTGATATTCTTTAATATATTTTATGATTTACCACATGACTGTTTTAAATCACACATTCACGTAATAAAATATTATACACGTATATCAAATACTTTTCTATACATTTCTCAAAAAATCATTATTTAAAATTCTTTGTTTCTACAAAAATGGTTGTCAAACAAGCTCAAATTGTACAGACAATTGCATTTTTTCCATGTTTTGTGTAGATAAAAAAAATGATAAAAATTTCGAGTCAAAATCAATAATTAATTTTAATCATACATTTCAGGTAATCCACAATTTTTTAATCACA